CAATGCATAGTGGCGCATAACGAGGTTTATTCAAGTTCAGCTAATTTTATAATTGCAAGCTACCAGTGGAGACTTCGTTTATTTAAATTTAAAAAGATAAACAAATAGAAAATATTTTTTTTTTTTCAATAAGTACAACAATATTAACTTCTCATTTATTCAATAAAAGAAAAAAATTTGTTTTCTTATCGGTCACCACGCTCAAAAAGTGTAACTTGAATTATTATCAAAGAAAAAACTTGAATTAATATCAAAGAAAAAAAATACTGCATTAATAAAATAAATAAATAATTATAATTGCATAAGTTGATAAAAAATGCTATGCAATAGCTTTACCGCGGCAGTCCCCGAGTGCCACAAGTATTTTTTTTTGTGTGTATGATACTTTAGGTTAGGTTTAAAATATCTACTGATAATATTTATTTTGTAAAAGGAGATTTTCCGTAAATAAATAAAATAAAAAAAAAATAATAATTTAATGTCTCAATTAAAGACCTACTTTTTGCCTTTCTTTAAATTCTTATTTAAGATATTCTGAGATACATTCGCTAAAAGCCCTTAATTCAGAATATCACATTTAATAAAGAAAAAAGACAAAATTGGTGTAATTAATAATTATTGCTTTTTAGGTTACACGGATCCTGTATGGACTCTCGAACTAATAGCTGGAAAAGTTTTCACGCCTATTAGTTTTATAATGGGCGTTCCATGGGACGAGTGCGAATCAGTGGGAACGTTGATAGGCATCAAAACGATGGTTAATGAATTTGTAGCTTTTGAAAGAATGGGAACTATGGTAAAACAGGGACTCCTATCTGTAAGCATAACAATAAGAAAAATTAAATTTTAGCACATTTTTTAAAGATTTTTCCAAATAATTTAACTTAGTTTTTATTATAAACATATTATTTCCCTCAAAGTGTAACAAATTGTAAAAGCCAAATTTACACCATGTGATTAATGGAAATATGTTTGAGGGGGCCTAGGAATTATACTCCTCACAGTATGTAGTATGTTAAGAGTATTTTAGGTTTAAAAAACCAACATTTTTAATTTTGATCCAAATTTAAAAATTTGTGTACCAAAATCCTTCTTATAAAATTTTAAAAATGTCCATCCGTCCGTCCGTCCGATGTTACGTTTCTTGTTCGCATGATGAGTCAAAAACAAAAAATGATATCAACTTGTAATTTTCCGGAAAAATCAAGTTCTATAAGTAAGTCCCCACTTGATACAAAGCGAAATGTAAAACCCGTAAATCCATCAGTGTTAATGTGAACATTGAAATGAATAGAATAACTGTTGATAACGATAAAACTCTAGCCGATGATGATGATCTAATGTTAAGTGATGATTTTGCAAAACTAATAAAAAATAAGAAGTTATTATTATTGGACATTCCAGAAGTAACAGCTGGACTTTCCCCCACAGAGATCGAAATTCAAGATTACAGTTGTTCTGATACAGCTAATTGTATTGCCGAGATCTCGAGTGCCGAAACCCTCAGTAGCTGTGAAAATTTCTATACTTTGACCAATTTGGATATTGTTCCTCATATAGATTGTAAAATTTATATTAGTAATAATTTGTCAGAGTACGAAAAAGAACTTGATGCACAGTGTGCAGTTACAGGAAACCACGAAATGGAAATTAACATAGTTGTAGAAGATGAACGTAGTCAAGAAACAAAAGAAAATAATGGAGATACTAATTTTAGAGTAAGAAATTATACAGAAGAAATCCCGTATCAAATAACAATTCATGAAAATGAGGCCAAATTAGACACTTCAGTTAGAGAAGATGAATGTGGTACAGCAATATAAGGAAATGAAGATACTATGGAAAATATAAACGATTCCGATTTCGAACCTGATGTTGAAGTGAATAATGATTCAGACGATGAAACTGTTTTAACAAAAAAAAAAAAAAAAAGAAAAAAATACATTTTGTATGTGCCAAAGACTGGAATGTAAATAGAAAAAACATTAAACGAGATTTAGGAAAAGAATATTACGGTAGCAAAAAGGTTGATGGAAAGTGGAAATACGACATTAAGAAAGATGCAAGAAAATTGAAATTACCCTGTAATTACAAACTTTCGATAAAAGGTAAATCACTAAAATGTAGAATGTTTTCAGAAGAAGAAAGAAACAATGATGAACGGATACGGGTCTGCAAGCAAATGTTTTTAAATATTCATTGTGTAAAAGAGAACATGATTTTAGATTAGATAGAACAGCGAAAGGGCATAGATGAAAATAATAAAAAGACAACACAAAATCATGAATATGTAAAACTGGGTCGTTATAAAGATATGAAAGAAAACTTAAGAAGTTTTCTTACGGAACTTCCTAAGATGGAATCTCACTATTGTCGGGCTTCATCGACAAAACAGAACTTAGAACCAAATTGGGTATCAAAATATTCACTTTAAAACTGGAACTGTCCAAAAGTTAACAGGAAACTTCAACTCTCAACTGGCGTTTCGCACGCGACTTGACGTTTGTATGAGTAATGCTCCCACATACTTTGATTTTCTCTTGATGCTCCATATGAATCCATGATAACGTTGGCCGCGTGCGGCAGGAAAATCGCGGGATTGTCATTTTTAATTTTCAGCCGCATGCGACCACGCGACAGAACCGCGTTAATGGGCTTTGAGTCATTTAAAAACATCTAAAGTATTGCCGCGCACGATGCCTCGCGATCAGTCGCGCGTCACGTGTCGCATGAGTGGGCTTTTCCAACAGTGACTCGCAGTTTCTACAATCATTTGCCATATAAATAATGTTCAGTTTCGCATATATTCACAATACCTTTTTTTTTTCTCTCCTGGGCTCGTCTGACTATGTGTCTCCGAATAACACTGAAGCCTATTGGCTTATTGTGTTTTACCCCATGTTAGTTCATAGCACCCACTCTGTCACCTTTGTACCTTGTACAAGTTTGTACAGATCCTTGGGTGAGCGGGTTCTATACGTTGTTGGATCAACCTGGGGTTGTCCAAAAAGAGCCTGTCTTTTGCGATCTAGAGCTTCGCATTCGCACAGTATGTGTTTGGCCGTTTCTGGTTTCTTGTGACATAGTTAGCACATGAGTTCCCCATTGTACATGCCAATTTTGTTCAAGTGTCCCTTTACTGGGGCGTGCCCAGTCGTGAACCCTGTTATCACTTTCAACTGGTTACTATTCATTGAGAGTAGTTCTCCAGTTCTTTTGGGACATGGTCTGCCTATGAAGGTTTTTCCATGTGCCTGTTTTGGGGTGTTTCCCCAATAATTGATATGTTGTTCCCGAATCCAGTCGTTTATGAAACCTCGGACTGTACTTTTTGGTACTCCTGGGTTTGTGTCTGGTTCCGATGTTTCTTCTGACCATTACTTAATTTGTAATAGATATTATAGTTTCCTTTATATTTTTGTACCATTTTAAATAAATAATCATGATAAAATATTACAATGTCTTAATTCCTTTAACTCAAATTGTAAAACGCGTAGCTCCCAATATTGTTTAAGTAAAGTCGGAAAGACCCGTAAGGTCCTTTAAATAATGATTTATAAAACTAGTTAATAAATAAGGTGAACACACAGTAAACGGATTTATTTAAAATATTTTCTATATCTTATAGCGTTTTCGATTCCAATGCTCGACTTGCACTGAGTGCATACGAAAGGTGGGAGATATCTCGATACCACTGATCTATATTATTTTACTGGATAGGATATAGCCCCCTAAAAAACGTTCCGAAAAATTGGCCGATTTGGGCAAATAATATGGCGGACCGGATGTTATTTAACGTAACCTCTATTTCCATTTGTCATCACATTTGTCATTTAATTGTGTCAACAAGCTACGATGAGGTGTTTTTATTGTGGAAAACAAAGTAAAAAGAGTATGAAATAAACAATAAACGTTCATTCCTGAAGACACAATATGCTTCACGTTTCAATTTTTATATTTTCTTTCATAAAAAATCAAATCATGGGTGAAATTTCCCGAAGGACATCGCCCGCAAAAGGAATAGAAGAAGAATAAGAAGAAAAACTAATCAAATTATAGGTTAGGTATGTCAAATTATCCCAAATTTTAGTTCTGTGAACACACCATAATTTGCCCAAATCGGCCAGCATTGTTGCACTTCCGGTCTCCTTGGTGAAACGATTTTTTAGTATGTTAAATATAGCCTATATCCTATCCAGTAAAATAATACAGATCAGTGGTCGATACTAGTTACTTTTCACTCTGAAAAATAACTGGTATCGATATATCGCTCATCTTTTATGTGCACTGCACGCAGGCAGGGCAGTGGAATCTGAAACGCTATTAGTGTGTGTAAATACCTGCTACCCTAATTTTTGAAAGATTTTTAGAGCGTCCTATAAAGTTTCATTTTTGTAACTTACGGGTATTTCTGATTAAGCCGACGATATAGAACAAAAACTGGAAGAGCTATAAGAGCGCTATGAGCATAACGACGGAGAGTAGATCATAGCGCTCTTATAGCTTCTCCAGTTTTTTTCTATATGTTTTAAGTTGGAGTTTTCCTTTTAACACAAGTAACAGGGGGCTTAAACTAAGGTTGTAGTACTCGTCTTGTAATGTGCTCATTAGTCATATGATGACACAAAGAAGGCTACAAGCCTAACACCTAGCAGAAAATTAGGTAAGATACAAAGACTGGTCAGTCTAATAATAACAGGTACATTTAGAAGTAGGCCCACTGCAGCAACTTAGCAACTGGTAGGTCTTCCTCCATTACACTTGTAGTAGTAAAAAAGGCTATGGAGGCGGGCATACAGGCTGTTAACAAATGGATTTGGATGGGATCTTTTAAGAAAAGCACACCATACATACAAAAATATTAGAAAAATTCAAACAAAATTCATACCTAATAACGACATCGGATAAAATACATGTTATTCATGACTATGAAACCTTTCGATATTCAAAAACAAGAGAAGGCCAAAAACATGAAAAATAGGAAAATTCAAAACGAATCAGTCTGGTATTCAGACGGATCAAAAATCAAAACAACACATGAGTTGGGATTTACCATGCGAATTCAGGGAGGAGCATTTGTTTAAACCTGGTATGACTGGCAGCAGACTTCTAGGATAAAAATAACAACAATAAATGCGACTTAAAATTATGCTAAATTACTCTCCTAGAGATAAAAAAAAGTCTTTATTATGACAAAGAGTCAAGCAGCGCACTTAAAGCACTAAAAATGTTAGAAGTAGAATCTAAATAATTTAATATTGGGCTGACAACCATCTCTCCAGGCCCTGTCAGAACATAACTAGATCACCCTTGAAAAAATACCGGGATATGAAGGAGTGTTGGGAAATGAGAAAGCAGAGAAGGCTGCTGTGAAAACTCTTATTGGACCAGAGCACACATGTGGAATTTTAAATCAACATGTTAAAGGGTTGGTAATGGAATAGGTAAATAGAGAACGCAATTAGCTTAAACTGCAACTTCCTGTACTCAGACAGTCTACAATATTCATTGAGGATTCATCCAAAAGCAACTGCTATACCTTATCACGAAGGAATTCAAGATCCTAATAGGACTATTTACGGGATACTGCTTAGAAGACAGCTACAACTTTTCTTATTAATATCCGATGACTCCCTATGTAAAATATGTAAATAGGAGGATGAAACTTCTACAATTAAGCTATGTCCGAACCTTTTGGATATATTTATTTGTGTGTAATTAATCCGAACAGTACTGTTTCGAGACGTGACATTCCGCCCATTCATCCCCGTTAACGTATACCTCAGCTATAACTTTATTACCTTTGATAATTCGACTTTTTAATGTCCATATATTTATTCTTATATATTTTTTTTCAGGAGAGAACAAAAGTAATAGCCACCTACGCTATTTGTGGCTTTTCGAATCCAGCTTCAATTGGAATCATGATATCAGGTTTGGGTATCCTTATTCCCAACAAGAGAGATGTCATTACGAGGGTAGTTTTTAGAGCCTGCTTTGGGGGCGCTCTTGTATGTTTCATGACTGCCTGCATAGCAGGAACGGTAATGCCAGATGATGTGATTTAGGATAATCTTCAATAATTAAGCAATATATGTATAAATCAACAAATTTGTTTTATTTTAAAATTCTCTATACATTTTTAACCGACTTCAAAAAAAGAGGGGGTTCTCAATTCATCGGAATATATTTTTTTTAATGTACATTCACCTCAGAGGTGGTCCCATATAAATTTCTTCAATATCTGAAAATGGGATGCATGAGAAACTCATCAAACTCTTCAATTTTTATTTCAATAATAAGAATTTACCACTTTGTCCGATTTCTGTTTTTTTTTTTTTTGTTAGAAAGGGGGGTACTTATTCAAATATTTTTTTTTGTATTGATGTCTTACAATAATAAAAATAAGAATAAGTATAAATTTTTTGAAATAAAGATTTAAAAAATTCATTATATACACTTATTCTTTAATGTTAAATATTAATTAAACATCCTGTATTAGGGTATCTAGTAGGTATATTCTTAGCATAGCATATGCTATATTTAAATACTTAGAACGTACTATCAAATTAGATACCCATTGCATACTGTACACATACTTGAAGTACATTCTCAGTATCTGCATAGCACGTATAAACAACGTCACGTAACATATGCTTAGTATATTCTGAGAATGTGCTAAATGCAAATAAAGTATATTCTCAGCATATGCGTATATACTAAGAATATGCTAAGAATGTATAATTGTTATCTGGGTATTGACGGAAACCTTACTGCAGAAAAATATTTAGATATACTGCAGGACATGTTAGATGATCTTCCTGTAGAGTAAGAGTATCGTCTTAACAAAATATGGTTCCAACAAGATGGATGTGGCCCACATAATTCAAGAACAGTCACGGATTATTTGAATCAGACTTTTCCCAGTTCATAGATTGGAACAAGAGGTCCAGTGGCGTGGCCTGCTAGATCTCCAGATCTGAATTCATTAGATTTTTATTTGTGGGGACGTCTCAAAAGTAAAATGTATAATGCAACAATTGAGATTCTCCGCGAAAAGATTGAAGATGCATTGGAAGATATCAAAGAAGAAGAAATAAGCAATAGCATAAGAAATATGAATATCAGAATCGCCAAGTGTATTGAAGAAAATGGCAGACATTTTAAACAATTAGTCAATTAATTTTATTGATATTTTCAAATAATTTGATTATGACTTACAAAAACTTAATTTCTTTTTATTATCAGTAATTGCGTTTTAAAATTTCTACATTACTATTGTTGATGAATTATTTAATTTTCGGAAAATTTACATTAATTTTGTAAGAATTGACTTTATTTTTTTATCTAGAGATTCAACTAAAGATGGCTGAAATCAAGCGTAAATATAATAAAATTTGGATTACGGTCCATATTACCCAAAAACCGTCATTGAATGCCAGTCTCTAATACAACGCTGGATGCAGGATGAAAAGTTATTTTAAATAATATTATAAAATATCCAGGTCCATATTTAAAAAAAATAATTTGAGGGTGGTCCGGAGAATACGAAACCTTGGATGCAAAATATGAAAACGTCAAATCGAAGAAAATTTACTATCAAATAAAAGACCGAAAAGATCGAATTTCCTTTTATCAAAATATCTCTAGAATCGGGTCTGATATTTTTGATTAATTTCCACCGCTAGATTATGCTTCGAAATAGGCAACTTTTTCTCCATTTAACCGACTTTCTAACTAGTATAGTTTGGAAATTACTAATACAATCCCATTAAAAAAGTAAGTATAAGGTTCACTAGAATCGAAAACACTGAACAATTGCACGAAAGAGTATAATAAGGTACCTATATTGCAAAGGTTCACTAGTAGCTAAAATGGTGAACGATTGTTTAAAAGTAGTAAAAAGTGTATTTATATAAGGTATATTTCAAAGGTCACTAGATTTTTATTAAGATGGCAGTTGTACGATGCTAAAAAAGATATTTATTTACAACCATATATGTAATGTTGTCATTACTAACGTCATTGAAGGTTGGGAAGTGTCACATTACACACCTCTACTTCCCGCCCTCACTTCCCGCCCTCATTTCATCTAATCTAGATGAATATTTTTTATATTAAAAAAAAACACATTTTTTTGACAAATTTTATAATACCTATTTAATGGCAAACAATAAAAAACAACAATGAACTAAAATACAACAAACTACTTATTGATATTTATTATTCGCGAATTTAATATCCGGCTTTATCTGACATTTATTTATATTCGTGACAATTGTTTACCCCGTAATCACAGTAACAATATATTTACTTGATTATTCTAAAAAAACCAGGCGCTTGGTAATTTGTCGTTAAATGTAATATTTTAGGTATGTTCAGAACGAAACAAAGATTTATTAACTTTGATCGAAATATGATCGTTGTAAATAAAATAGTATACAAACCTCGGTAGGAAGTTTCATTCCTGTCTCGAGATCATTGTTTTCAATTTACTCATTTGTGTCGTAATTTTATTTAAATAATAAAAAAAAATTATAATAAATAATGTAAGTATATCTCATTATATTAAATAAATAAATAATTAGATAGTACTCTAATAAGCTGATATTTTTAATTTATTGTGATATTTTCAATTATAAAATAAAAAAATTTGGTAAAAATAAATAAATTAATAAATATAAATGAAAAACATAATTGCGTTAAAGTTTACATTGAATGTATTCAAGGGTCTGAAGTTCGCGCGCTACGCAACGTTGCCAAATGTTTTGACTCCATTTTAAGCTAGGTTACTTGAATATTTTTTGTGATTTTCTAATATTAATTTCTTAATAAATTCCACGGTAACCTATATATTTTATTGTAAAAAACAAAACCTAAATATTTCAAAAACCTTATTTTTAGTTTTCTACTCCATCTAATCAATAAATAATAGTATAATTCGAGAATTGTTGTTGAGGTTTTACTTTGTCGTAAGACACTGTACAAATACATTTTTTTTAAAAAAATTCTCAAAAATTTGCACTGTAAGGTATAGTTAAAAGTTCACTATTAGATAAATAAGGACTTTTATTAGAAAAAAATTAATTTTAGTCATAATCTTTTTTATTTAACATTGATGGGGAAAGGACCTCTTTAAGGAGGTCCTTTCGCCACACCTCTCGCCTCAAATGTTAAAAAAAAGTTAAGTATTCAAGTCCTCGCTACTTGCTGCTTTAAGCCACAATTCAAGTCTGAAAAATACATACAATCATTGTACTACAATGTTATGGCAAGGTCAATTCCTATTTCACAATCAATGTTTCATACATACCTCACTGGATCTTTCACAAGAGTGAACAATCCTTCTTTGTCCCTGTTCTGGAGGTACATCCACGATAAATACAAGTATACCCTCCTCCCCTTTGACGCGGCATTGTTTATAAACCTAATCTTAATACGTACAATAAAGTCTTAAATGAACACTCCACAATTAAAAACAGAAACAGAAACTGAAAATAAACCACTAACAAAACGTGTTCAAGTTATTAGAATATTCGCTAAAACCAACCAAAAATCAAAAACGACAAATAAAGACGACAGGCAAAAAAATATTGACAGCGACAGCAGTGACAGCTTCGTTAATCTGCTACAAAAGTGTGCACTGTTGCATTTCGAACAAATAACAAATCTACGATTCACTTTTGACAATGCTCCACCATAAGGAAGGTGTGGCTTCGGTTGCTAGGTTCCTGTTTTAACCCTATGTTTCTTTTCTGTATCGTTCTTTATCCTGTGATAGAGGTTATGTTAAATAACATCCGGTCCGCCATATTATTTGCCCAAATCGGCCAATTTTTCGGAACGTTTTTTAGGGGGCTATATCCTATCCAGTAAAATAATACAGATCAGTGGGTACATGCTGGGTATATGATTTTTAGTATCTTCTAAGAATGTCTTGTTATAGCACGTGCTCAGTATATACTTTTTGGAATATACTTTTAAGGCACGTACTCTAATTTCTAGAAAATACTTTCAAAGTATATACTAGGTATGTTCTAAGAATATTCTAGAAATTACATATTAAAAAGAGCATAAACAGAACGTTCTTAGTCTTAGTATATTCATAGAACATTGATGTTATGTGAGTCAGTATCAGTGCCTAAATATCGACACTTTCATTGTTTAATATCGTTACTTCTATAGTATCGAGGCATCGATAAGATCTCTATTATCGTGTAAAATATAGGGCAGTCATTTAATTGTATCTTCTCGTTTACAATTAATTATTTTTTATTGTAGTTGAAAACTGAAATATTGTAATCTAAAACAACAGACAATAAATTAGAAAACATGTTTTCATTTTATTGAAAAGAAGAAAAGAACTTTCCAAACTTATTCAAACGTATAAATAGTTTACAAATTCTTTAAAATCTCAAATAAGGCGATTTTAAATCAGATACTAGGTCTTGAATATGATTGACTACACTGATATAAATCAAAAACACTTGAAATGGTCAAGTTTAACATGACTACAGTAAAAACGTGGTCATCACAGATATGAAATGACAAATGTAAAACTTTTACTTTTTAATTATTAAATTAATATGTTTGGTCCCAGTATAATTAATAATACAGTAGTGACAGTTCATTGTTAAAGAGGGTTCCATATTTTTCTGCGCATGTCCATAAATAAGCGACAAATACGGCAAACTAGCATATGTAAATTGTCAATGGATTAATGGTCGTTGATTGTATTATTTATCTAATTGGTTTTAATAAACATTATAATACATTTTTATTATATTTAGACCTAATTTTCATCTTTCATTTATTGTGTGATAATTTATTCAAACAGACAAAGGAACAAGTCATTCTGAAGTTACCTTTTCCAGTGTAGAAATAAGCGGCAAAAACGTCAACTGTAAATAAAAATCTGACCACTTCGACATCAAAGGAGCCGACTCAAGCTGTCGCTACTGTAATATTAACACGAAAATCAAAGTATGTGAATATTAATTATAATGGGGTTTGGTTATGTTACAGTTCATCAAATTTCTAGAGGCTTTCGACGGCTAGACAGAGAAAGCACTACTGACAGGCATCCCGATGGATTTACGCAATGAAAGTACACTCTGCGCATCAAGTATTTCACTATTTCATTCAGACGTAAATGTCAGATGTAAATTTCGCTAAAACATTTCTTTTATTTTCGTTTGTGTTTTTTGCTCATTACAGTTTA